CCTGCTGGGCGCATGCGCGCTCCAGCCCGGAAGCGGGGCGCCGCTGGAGAGCAGCCCTGGACTGCGCTCCTGGGCGCTCACCGGGAAAGCGAGTGTGCGCACGCGCACAGGGGTCCCCGTGCGTGGGGCTTTGCTCTGTGGCCGTCCACCTCCGTCGGAGTCCAAACAGCCTGGAGTTCCCCGGCAAGGGCAGCCCAGAAACCAGGGCTTGGAAAGAAGGAGCAGAAGGAAGGGAGCCCACCCCGTCTTCTTAGAAACAGAAGCCGCCCGACAGACTCGCTGTAAAATGTAGGGGCCGCTTGTCTGCTTTTTCCTGGAGTCAAAGATCTCGGTTATGAAACCATGGGGAAACAAACATCCGTTCGCTCATTCGGGGCTGATTTTCTCCTTTAGAGAAGTTGGTTCAGTGTCTGGGGCTCAGGAGACATTAAAGGGCCTACGAATGTGGTTCAGTTTCTTTTAAAATCCGAGTTAAAGTGAACTTTTTGGTAGAAGAAAATGTTAATATACTCATCTTTATACCAACAGAGGTATAAAACATAGTGAAGACGTTTCTTTGTGATAGAATAAGGGGCCCACCAAGGCAAGGCCAGCCAGCAAGGGCTCAGGAAGGCCGAGCTGGTGCCTTGTGCCCACCCCAGGAAGCCAGGCCCGGAGTCAGGGTGACACGTGTTAGGCAACCGCTGGAGCCGGCACGGGTGAGTGGGGTCACGGGTACCGAGATTGCTCCTTCGGTCTGGAAGAGGAAACCGGGGTCAAGTAAAAATGCGAAAGGCAGAAAGGACTGGTATTGGGGATGCTAACCATAGAAATTACAGCAAAGATGGTGCTACACATCACTCTTAACACAGAGAGGAAGTAGACGGTGTCCTAAAAGCATAACTTATTGGTACTTAGTAGAAAATATAAAGCTGTACTAAGTAAATGGCACACACAAAGTGCAGTCAATTTAAAGAAAAGTTGAAAGAAACATTTTAGGGGAGATCATGACAATCATGGTAACCAAGAAATGCAAAAGGATCATTTTCCACTCATAAGGTAAATAATAACAATGATAACAGTAAAGTCATAATGTAGTATTAGGAAGAAAAAGAGACAAAAAAGAAAATGTTAAGCCGATATCAGTTGCATGAGTGCAAAAAATCCTAGAGAAAATATTCAGAAACCAACTCCAATGGTTTATATAAAGAAATGATATGTCTCCAGGCATGGTGGCGCACGACTGTAATCCCAGCACTTGGGAGGCTGAGACAGGAGGATCACTGTGAGTTCGAGACCATCCTGGCCTACATAGTGAGTTCCAGGTCAGTCTCAACTACATAGTGAGACCCTGTCTCAAACAACAACAACAACAAAACCAAAACAAAACAAAAAAAGAAAAGATATGTCAAAAGAAGGGTGGGTTTCCAAATTTGCATTTTTTATATTAAAAATAAAGTCAGTATTTGGGGAAAAAATAAAGAAAATATATGTCACAACTAAATTGGGTTTTTCTTAGGAATGCAAGAGTGTTTTAACATTAGGAAGAGGGTTGTGTAATATATCACCAACAAATTCAGAAAATAATTTTAATATATTCAGAAAATTTATTTGATAAAATTAATGCTTATTCACGATAAAAATTTAAAATGATGTGGAGGATAAGACTACTTATATCTACCAAAAACCTATGTAAACATTATTCTGAATGGCAATGATGATTAAAGTTTGAACCATTTCATTCAAAGTCAGGAACAACATATAAATGCTTGCTGTCACTTTTCCTATTTAACAGTGTACTAGAGGGCCTGGGAGTTAGCTCAGTGGTGCTGCTGCCTGCCTCTCAAGTGCAAGGACCCAAGTTTGATCCCAGTACCAAGAAAAAAAAAAACAAACCAAACAAAAGCAATGACAAGATAACAACAAAATCAGACCCTCCCATTTCCTTTAGCAAAAATAAGTAACTTGGAACAAATCCTAGGAACCAGTAGAAGTATACAAGCTTTAAGAAGAAAATGCATAATCCCAGCCAGCATGATGGGAGGCTGAGGCAGGAGGACAGAAAATTCAAGCCCAGTCTGGGTAATTTAGTAGTTTATTATTATCAAAAGTAAAAAAGGGCTGATGATGTAGCTCATTCCTGGGCTCAACAGTAAAAGAAAGGAGGAGGAGGAGGAGGAGCCTGTTGGGAAACAGTACAGAATATTTAAATAAGTAGAGATATATTATGTTTATGGGTAGTGTGATTAAACACACTAAAGATGTCAGTTTTCTCCCAAATCACTTTACAGAATCAACATAATTCCAACAAACCACTTCTTAAATTTATAAAAAAATTATTTATTTATTTACTTTTGTTTTTTTGAGACAGGGTCTCACTACATAGTTCAGGCTGTTGTTAAACTCACTATGTATCCCAGGCTGGTCTCAAACTCATGATGATTCTCCTGCCTCAGCCTCTCAAGTGTGAGGATTACAGGTGTGCACCACCACGCCCTACTTTTAAACTATTTTAAACGTGGATTTATTAGATTAATAAACGATAAAGAAATGTAAATACTCAGGAGCCAAAATACTGCTGGAGAAAAATAAATTATAGGGACTTAACCTATTAGAGCCCAGAACATACTTACTCTGTATGGGTAACAGGAAACACAGGCACCAACTGTGTTCACAGCAGTACTGTTGATCATAAGTTGGCAGAGGTGCTGTATATTCATGTCATGGAATATTATTTATGTATTTACTTATTTTGAGACAGGGTCTCATGATGTAGTCCAGGCTGGCCTTGAACTCATGGTGATCCTCCTGACTCAGCCTCCCCAGTGCTGGGATTATAGGCGTGTGCCACCACAACCAACCATGTTGTGGAATTTTAAGACATAAAAATGAATAAAGTATATATGGGGGGGGTACAGTATGGGTGAATCCTAGACACAGTATTGAGTGAAAAGGCAAGTCCTGTAAGGAGAAGTAGAGAATGCTTAAAATAAGTATGTCAGTGAATGATATTGTTTAAGGACAATCACAAATACTATTTAAAGAAAGCAATGGAGCTGGGTGTGGTGTGGTGGCGCACTTGCAAGGCAGGCGGTGGAACCACTGAGCTAAATTCCTGGCCGGGGCAGTGATTTAGACCCATCCCATCTAGGAACCGGGGAAGAACCTGCGACACAGCTAAGGAATCTATAACAGGCACCGGCGGCGCGGGCCCTTTCGAGTCAGGATTTAGTAGGAAAAGCCCTGTTCTTAGACTCAGTGACAGGATGGGAAGAGTTTGTGTGAAGAACAGCAATGCAAGGAGGGCCAGGCTCAGAGACCCCTGGGTAAAGCCAGTGGTCCAGACAGTGAAGCAACATCACCTGCAACATGAGATTACAAAAGTAAAATGGACAGAAACTTCCCTCACCACTTGTTTTTTGGTTTTTTTGAGACAGGGTCTCACTATGCAGTTGAGACTCTCCTGGAACTCACTGTGTATCCCAGGCTGGTCTCAAACTCACAGCGATCCTCCTGCCTCAGCCTCCCGAGGGCTGGGATTACAGGCGTGTGCCACCACAGCCAGTTACACAGTGTCTGCCCTGAAAATTCATAGCTCAAAGTCCTGGCCCCCTGTGTGACACTGTTTGGAAACTGGGTTTTAGGTAGGCAGTCAAGGTGAATGAGGTCAGAATTAGGCCCTTTAATCCTGTTCTCACAGGAAAAGGAGGAGACACCAGAGCTTGGACCGGGCACAGAGCAAGAAGCCAGAAGCCAGGAAGCCGGGAAGGCAGCGCCTCGCCAGGCAGACCCCGGGCACACTGTTCTCAGATTCCTGGCCTCCAGAACTTGGAGAAAAGAAATGTCTGTGGTTTCAGTCCGCTCTGTCGTGGCAGCTTGAGCAGGCGAATGGGTACCGGGAGTCACGCTCCAGAGCTACGGTCTGATTTCTATATTCAGAGACAGGTGTTAATTTTGAACTTTGTAATTCTTGGAGGGCCCCACACTTAAGGGTTGGTGCCGCACATCAACCACAGTGGTGGGTAGTGTGTGACGTAAAACGGAGTGCAGAGCAGGATCAGAGCCAAAGGCCCCTGGTGGTAACTGCGGTCAACCAAGCCCTACCCTCCATTTGCAAATTGCCTTTCCCTCCTACCTGCCGGGCACTGCTTACCAGCTCTCCTTTTAGCCCATGCTTGCTTACCTTGCCCTCCACACAGATACTGTTCATTCTTTCCCAAGAACCGGGGCACTGGCTACTGTTGTCGGAAAATTACTCGGAGATACCAAGCAATGTTCATTATTTTTAAAGAAATCATGAGATGTCCTCAAATCAAACCTCAAGCAGAAGGATTTTTCTTCTATTTGTTC